AATAATAATAAAAAACCCCACAATAGAAAGTTAAAATAAATAAATGAGAAAGCCATATAGAGAGACAAACTCCACAGATTGTATTGTCAAATGCTTTTTCCTAGTCAAGAGGTTTTCTTTTCACCCTGTCAGGAAAAGCTTTTCATGTGCACAGATGTTTGCTCTTTAGAAGGGTTGTTATTGATTGCCTTTGGGTCAGCACGACTTATAGCGACCCTATGAACACAAGGCCTGAAGCCCCTCTACAACTATTGACACTTATCAAAGTTCGTAGAGTTTCTGGAGGCATATTATTTAGGAAGTGGATGCCTCTCCTGCTTCCAAACCTGTCATAGTATGTTATTGTTGTTTTGTGCCATTTAGTAGCCTGCGGCCTATAGGGACTTGAGGTACAGCAGCTCTGAACTCTTCCCTGACCTGAGACAGTCTCACTAATTCCGACACACCAACCCTCATTGTCCCAGTCATTGTTTCAATCCATCTCATCCGGGGTCTCCCTCTTCTGCTCTGTCAGTCCAACCTTCCAAGCATGATGTCCTTCTCCAAGGACCCATCTCTCCCTGCCATGTGTCCAAAGTAAATGAGGTGGAGCTTTAAAATCCTAGCCTCCAAGGAGAGACTTGGTTTCACCCTCTCCAAAACAGATCTGTCTGTTTTCTTGGTAATCCGTGGTATGTTCAAGACTCTCTCTAGCACCACAAATCAAAGGCATCGATTTTTCTTCTGTCATCCTTAGTCATTGTCCAGTTTTCTGAAGGTAGCAGTCCACAACTACATAACTTTTAAAACTCAATTACCCACACCTTAAAGAAATTATACTCTTCAGATATTAATACTTCTATTTAGAAAACTTGGAGTATTTGCAATTTCTATTCCTTGATCTGGAAGCAGGAGTGGCATCCACTTCCTAAACAAAACGCCTCTAGAAACCCCATGAACTTTGAGAAACAATGATAGTTATAAAAAGGCTTCAGGTCTTTTGTTCATAGCGTCGCTATGAGTCATGCTCAACTTGATAGCAATCAACAACAACAACAACACCATTCCCTGATTTAAATAAACTTAAGTAATGACTTGCAAAGTAAATCTTGGAAAGTTATGATAACAAATGATATCTGTGTTCTTGATAATTTAGAATATATATGAGATCGTCCTATAGTTTTAAATTCTTCTATGGCTTCTCATTGTAGTTTGAGAAAAATACAAACTTCCACCTCATCTTGCACCACTCTACCAGTCTCTCTGTGATAGGCCTTCTGAAGATTTTATTACATCCTCCCATAAAAAACACAAGTCAAAATAAGCTTACAATTTTTTCCTGTCAAGACTAGCTGAATTTTGAAATAAATATTTTTCCATCTCCTTTTCTCTTCCTGAATGTTTCCCCCTAATAAAATACAGCATGTTATGTAATAATTTTAATGTTATTCTCTGTAGTTAATAAATGTGCTGTGTTTTATTGAAGCTTTCAAAGAAAACATGGATAGTATATTAAACTTTTAAGTTAAATACTCTTGAGTTCAAACAGAGGTATTTAAATTAATCCTTAACTGACTAAACTGGAGCTTATCAGCTTCCGCTTCCTTTTAGTTAGCAGATCAAACACTGGGCAGTTAGTATTTGCAAGTTACAACCCTCTGTACCTGGGACATGTAGGGCAAATGCATTGTGTCATGATTTCCACTGTCATTATGAGAAACAATGCATGCTTTTCTAGGTATTATAGTTAGAAATTGAACAGGAACAGGAAGATTGATCATGACTGGCTTTACGACATGTGCCTTTCATCCGAGTATGTATTTGTATACGTGTGACTAATGCTGACACATCTGTTAAGAGTTGTGGGAAATTTCTGGTACAGTCATCAAAACTTTCACAATTTGGGGGCAATGAGATAAAATGTTAATTGCCATTAAGTTTTCCTAGACCTTAAAATTGGACATTAAGATAACTATTAAAAAGATTGTGACAGTGACAGACACATAGATCAATGGAATCGAATTGAGAATCCAGAGATCAACCCATC